GTTGCCTCATGTTGTCATTGGCTACTGCAAAAATAGCCAGATAAACCATTCAAATGCTTACGCATTGTGGTTAGAGAGTAGCGTGGCTGCACTGTTGAATAAATTGTTGAAATAGCTTTGAAACTCAAATATTTGAGTTATATAACACTAACTGTACCTGAAATATTTAATAGCATTTAGAATAAATGCATTTACCTCTTCCATGGCATCTTGATTCTTTTTTGTTTATTGGTGGTGAATTGTCCCTGGTTTTGTAGGCTTGTGCTGACCTCACTGAGACGCTTACTGCCTTTGCCATGAAGACAATGCTGTTGCCAGTGAATGTTGAATCGCATTCAATGCATATTGGACATACATACCTGCTGTGGGTTACCTAATTTTCTGTCATATAAGTGTGCAGGGAATAGGACTATGATACTGTGTAAGTGGCGCTTTGCAGAATGCGGGTTGGATGGATTTTCAGCCAGGTAACTTTGGAAGTAGTGGAAACTCTTTCTGCTGATTTGAAGTTCTAGGGTTAGAAGCCTCATTCTGGACCATGGAAATAGTGTCACCCCTGCTTCAGGAAGACCTGCAGAAGCTTTTGCTCACTGCTTTGTTACATTGCTACTGCGGTTTGTTTGAGTGTCGTTTAAGCAGTAGTGATTTCATGGATGTCCCCTGCCTTCTGCTTGGTTTGTTAGGAACAAGCACTTACCCTGTAGTATTAGTGATCCCCTTTCAGTGACACAGTATGCATTCTGTTGCTTGTCTTTACCCTAGTAAACCTGAAGCTCTCCTGTTGCGCACTTCCTGAGGAGATCAATGTTCCATTTGCTGTGGTTTAGAAAAGGTTATCTATGGATAGGCTTCAGTTGGTTATGGTTTGTTTTGAAGTGGTGTTTGCAGCTTAAATTCTTCCTTAATGTAGATCTTAACTAAGTAAAACACAACTCTTAAATTATCAACTTAGCTTGAAGAACAACAAACCAACTACTTTCAATGTGTTATCTGATCCAGTGCCTTGGTATATTGCAGCACTGTTGCTGCAAAGAGCTACTTGTGAAATTTCAAATGTGGTTCTTCCTTAGGTCATACAGAAGGCTAACTATAAAAAGATCAGTTGAGGAACTGAAGAAAACTAGTGAGGAACTAGAGTGTTTTAGATTCATCTTTTCACTCCATCCGCTTGAAGAAAACTTGCTGCTGCACATGTTGTATTGGGTCTGAACTTTTGGTGCAAAAATTGAGTCTTCTGTAATTCAATAATATATTAAGAGGTTTTTGGCAGTCTTCCGCTCTGGCTTCACTGAGTAACTTCACAGCAGAACCTTCATGGTGATCTTTAACAATTCTTTCCATTTCAACAATTGAGGTGTGATAAATTTGATATTATCACTGCTAGCAAGCCCTTAACCTCAAGAGTCATCAGAAAGCTATTGGCAGTAAGTAAAGTGAGTTTCTATGCTAAGTGTAAATAATGATGAGGCTAAGAATGAGCAGCATACTGAGGAAAGTGGAGTGGAGTCTCTTTTCTGCCTGCCGCAAGTGGGAAAGGCTCTCTTTGTGGTGAGGTGATAGGTGTGAGTGAGGCACTGTAGAAGGAAAATATACTGAAAGGAAAACAACTTTTGAAAGGGTAAGGAAAGGAGGAAGAAAGAGGGGGTGAATGAAAAAAAGTCTTTGGAGGGATGTGACTGAAGAAGCTGGCAGGTAAGAGTAAAGTTAGTCTGTAAAATTTTGTCATGCTTTACTCATATGAGTATACTTATATATCTATATAAGAAGTAGTATCCAGTAGAGCAATGCATGGAAATGTACGTAGATATGTATTCACACCAACTGCCTGATAAAACACCCGTGGTGTTTAACGCTATGGAAGTTGCATACATGCCATTGCCCCTTAGGAGATCTGAGTGACAACGAAGTGCTCGTGGATCGCCATGTGTTAACAATCATTGCTGAGTTCCTTGGATCATTATTTCTAAAAGCATTTACTGACCAGCAGTGAGGGGAAAGGGAAAGGTGTTTGTTTGTGGCATTGCTCTATTTTTGGTTTGTTTTTTTTTTTATCACAGCTGACAGGGGTTTTCCAGAAAAATGAGCAAGTCAAAAGATAAGTAATTACCTTGATGCTTATTTATCTCTAAGCATTTTTAATCTGCATTTACTGGTTATAGTTCACAGCTGCATCATAAGAGTATATGCCCTCCATTGAAGTATAGCCAGCTACCTTACAGAGAATTAAAACAAACATATACCAGTAAAGATCAGAAACCTGTATTTCTAATAAAAAATATCCTAATTCAGAATGCCATTGCTTTAAATGGAATTTGACTACTTCACACTTTTCACAGAAAGAAAAGAGCTGTTTGGGATTTGCACTGACATTTATTCAAAAGCTGAAATGTCTCTTGTAAGAGACTACATCACCAGTAGCGTTGGTGCCACAATGCGAGGTCAAGACTTCAGTTGAACAACTGTTCTTTGCCACAAGCTGATTTCCACTCTTGCATGTGATATGCAGTCTTGTTTAACCCATGACATGCTATGGATGTAAGGCAAAAGATTAAATTATCTTTCATAGCTTCATAGTAATACAATTGTCAGTTACATAACATGACATAAAATAAATATCTTCTTCAAATGATTATTCAAATTACTTTCTTCCAGCTGTGTTCTGCACTGCTAGTTTTGCATGTTCCCATAAGGATATATTTAATTTTTTTTTTTTTTTACTGAGAAATACACTGCAGCTTGATGGTACCATGTGGATTGTCTGGCTCTAGTTATTTTTTGTGCATTTCTTTTTGTCCCTTGTAGATGTACCCAGATCAGTCTCATCCCAGGTTTGTCTCCTCAAATGGTGTTGATGGCTGTATTAGTTTTCCCTTGAGAATGACTTACTAAATTGTAAAGATGCTTTTCAAGACATTTATATTTTATTAACCTGTTGGTTGGCACACTTGATCTGCACTGTTTTTCATTGTGTCTTGGTTTTGAGGTGATTTGCATCTTCTCTTGACAAATTAAAACAATATTTGCCAATGTGGACAACCTCACAGTTGGAGCAGCCTGAAGGCAGTTCTTGCCTATATTGCCTAGCATACTGATGGTGCAAGCTTACTGATTTCCAGAGGGCTTTCAAAATTCATTAACTGTTTGGATTTTGAGTTCTGGATACTGTTTCTAAATTTGTCAAAGACAGTAGCAGTATTTGCTTGCATCAGTTCTGGAATAAACTCAATTGAGATACCGTAACAAATATTTAATTTTGTTTTGTTTTGAACAAAGAACACGCTCATAATTCTTTGAAGTTTATACGCTATTAAAGGCTGCCTTAGACATTCCTTGCCAAAAAACTGCTGATGTGGAAGTGTTTGCTGATGAAACATTAACTGCGTGCCTGGTTTTGTTTTGTTTTGTTTTTCTTTCTGCTTTGGATGCTTGTTTTGCTTGTGTGGAGCTTTTAGGGGTAAGAGTGAGGGGTATCTTCTGGAGGCACTGTGATATTGGAGAAATGTGGGGAATGGCTTGGGTAAGGCTTCCTCATCTGTGTCTCAGCTCCAAAAATCTGTTTGATCTAACCTGGTACTGCCATTCCCGTACCATAGATAGTGCAGGGTTTGATGGGGTAATACCACGACAGCAAAGCTCTTAAAATAGTTGCCAGAAGATCTACTGCAGAGCTTTAGAAAGCAAAGGCTTAGAAATAGGTCAATAGCAAAGCTCCAGTGGAACTATAATAAACATAACTGGCTCTGGCTGAGAGTGAAGTTTTGCAGTTATTATCTTATCTTGCAATTGTGCAAGTCTGTCTTGCTGTGTATTTTTAAGTGTGCCTTCTATGTTCTTTTGTCTTGAAACCTCATATCCTGGTTTAATTTGTTGGTTTTTTTACTGTTTTAAATTGCCAGGCCCCAGTAATTTTTCTTCTGTTACTATGCTCATTCATTTTTCTCCATCCATTAAATTTAACTTTCGTCTTTCCCTTTATGATTCCTGCACTGATATGATGTAGTATCGCTTTAGGAGCAAAGGATCATCAAAATCACTTCAGGAAATGCATTTTGTGTCTCTGAGTCATGCTTCCCCAGTGTCAAGTTTTCTGTCTGAAACATTTCTGTTCTGCCTCTCAACTAAGACAGATATTTTAGATATCTTTGGAGCAAAGTTTAAATCTCTTTCCATGTGCAAACACCTAAATACTAACATATGGTTTAATTCTTAGTTCTGTAAGTTATTTCTAGTTCTGGCTTCCTGAAACTGTTTTCTATTGCTTGAAAAACTTCTCCGATACTTATAGTGATGCCACAAATGATACCACTGTGATGATGATTATGTTCAATGTTGCTTTAGTGCTGTATAACAGTAGCCCCATTAGCATATATGTAGATATATATAATTGCCTATGCTGATTGCTGGTACCATAGTAACTACAGTAAAAATATTTGAGGATGGAAGTCTCAAGGATGGAGTATATTGTGTCAGTGTAGAACCTGGGCAGGCATGCTGGTAAACATAGAGATCAGGTGTGATCAGAGTCAAAGGGAGGATCTGATATACTGACCACACAGAAGAAATGACTGTGGACACAAGGCTGATTTATATTCTGATTTCTAAATACAGATATATTCTACACAAATACTTACAGCGTGTCTGTGTGCATATTGCGGATTCTTTTGTATTGCTCCGTTGTTCCCTGCATCTGTTCAATTCGTCTGGATTACCAGTCGTAAATGGGGAGGGGAGAGATACCTAGTGAGAAGGAAGCAGATGGGTTTTAACTAACGCCAAAATTAGACTTGATTTTTGTGGTGAAATTTGTGTAAAATCAATGTACTGTGGATAACTGAGCATCCCTGAAAAAATCTGAAATGCATAAATCTGGAATTCACATGGGAAGAGGTGAAATGTACCGTGTTTTTTCAGGTCTGTAAGCAAATCCTAATAATAGAATGCAAAATTTGCATTTGGTTTGGTTTTTTAATGTGAGTATTTTATGTTTTGCCACTTTAAAGCTTTCCTACAGTTGGAGAAAAAAGAACAAAAAATAACTATTGATCAGCCATCTAGAGGAACAAGGAAAAATTATTCTTTCACAAATGAAGAAGTAAGACAGATTGATCGGGAAAACCAAAGGTTGCTAAAAGAGCTGTCCAGGCAGTCTGCAAAGCCGAGAAGAAGTACCACGTTGAAGAAGTCGTCTCTGCCGCCTCCTAAATTGTACCACAGTGCCCTCAACAGGCAAAAGGAGCAGCAGAGAATTGAAAGGGAAAACCTGGTAAGTTTTGAGAACGGATTTGGATCAGTAAATTGAGAAGGACTATTTGTTGTCAGATGAACTCCTGAGAAATATTTACAAAACTGGCCAGGCAGCACTTGGAGCTTTACTGCAGTTAAGTGTGCAATGTATTTCCATTACTATGCTGTTTACATAATTGTTCATATGTTTTGGGGGAAGGAGGGGAATGATACTTTTTTCACGTTAATAGAGATTTTAGTTTATATGAGTTTGCTTTAGTATCATTCAATTTAAGAGTAACAACCATTATTGTTAACATCCTTATAACTTTGGATAGCAGTCTGACTACATTCGTCCTGCTTCATGCATCATGATTACTAGTTTCTCAAGAACAGGCTTGCAAAAAATAAAGCAATCAATGTGATAGCGTCAAACCCATTCTATTTGAAATACTGAGGATACAATGTGGATGTCAGTTTTGGTTTTTGACTCATTTTATAACTATCCATCTCTTCCAGTGTTTGTAGCGCTTTGCTTGTCACAGTATTTGAATGTAATGGCAATCACAATAACTTCAGTGGAAAACAGAAATTCAGACTCGTTTATGAGGATATTGGCAGTTGTCAAATAAGAAAAATATACTGTTTTGGATGAGATATTTTCAGTGATTGAATTGTAATACATATAATGACATTTTCGTATCTCCCTAGTTGTTCATTAGTGTGTTTGAAAAGGAGATAAAATGTAGTTAAAATATTTGGAAAATTGACAGTGAAAGTGATTTATTCACTTCTTTCTTCTGTGTAAGTGTAGGTTGCAATTTCCTTTTATATAGATGGAGAGATAGATTCAACATGGAGAAAGTCTATTTGACCTATTCAGGAAAATCTGTTAGGTTTTAGTTCTTCCAGCTTTCAGACATCTAGATTGTTAAAACTTTTCAAAGTAGGAAACTTTCTACCCAGCTCCACTGGATTACAGTTGACAAAAAGAATGTTATACTTCAGACACTGGAAGAATTTGGCTTGTATAGATGTTTGATATAGATGTGTTATAGATGTGTGATATACTTCTCGTTGTCTGAGGAAGAAATATTTTTAGGCTTCAGTGTTTTTAGGTTGGTAGGAGGGCTTTCTTCATGTGTTGTGGGGGTTTTTTTTGTTTGTTTTTTTTGTTTATTTAAGATATTGAAAGCAGGGCTTCCTCTTCCACTTGAGCCTTGATAATGAGTGTATTCTTAAACTGTGGGGAGGAAGTGCTATGTCACAGTCACTTATGATGTAATAGTAATATGCTGTACTACATAACAATAGATCATTACTATAAATTAATGTATATGGTATTTTACAATACAGTTCTGTTTACTCAAAGCCACAAACCTTTTCTCTTAAGATATATTGCAATATTTTGTCCAAGAATGTCTTGCCTTTGCAACTTTGGGATCAAAAATTCAACAAACCTAAATACGGTAGTTTCACACGTTGCTGTTTTAGTACATGTTGGAGATTAATGGTGGTTCCTTGTAGTCCGAGAAATACTATCCTTCATTTCCTTATTTATGCTTTAGTGTTGTCGTCAGCAGCATAAGTGGACATGTTTGACATCAGAATCATTCCTTAGAATTTGTGTTAGGACATCATGCTATTTTAGACTATAAAAACATTTGGTTTATTCTTTTCCCCAAACTCAGGATGATGTATTCTGCTTTTCTTTTTGCAAGAGTGATTCGTCAGTGTAGCTCTTATGTTTTGTTTAACATTGCTATAATTTTTGAGCAGTTGTGTTTACTTTTTTGTTCTGTTCGAAGTGTCTGTGCACCTAGACCATCAAAGTTGTAACATACTGATTTTTCTAGCACTACCTTTTAGGATTACAAGTATGACATGCTTTTCTCAGAGACTGTAAATGAAATGGCTGCCCTACCCTGCCCATTGATGTGGTTTTTTTGCTTTATATACCTAAAAATATGTGCTTTATGAACTTGTTGTTTTCTTCTGGTCAGCAGCATTCTTCACCTTTGTAGACTGAAGAGCTGGAATTCCGTGGAATTTCCTTATCAATCTTTCTTCTATTACTTGAGAAGAATTATTTTTTTTTTGTAATACAATACCTGAGGTACTGTGTACAGGATATGCAGCTTGATGCACCTTTGTGAAATGTTTGTTGGAGAAGGATGCAGGGTTTTGTAAATAATTCAAGAACAGAAATCTACAATAGTAGTCTGTGCAAGGGGTCAGAGAGTTTTGATGCAGGGATTATTTTTTTTTTTATTTCCCCCTCGTGGATTACAGCTTTTATAATTTCTTGTCCTGAGGTTAACACCTTGTCTAGGGAAACCTTTCACTTGTTCCGCTAGAACATTCTTGGAGTAATGCCTATATTTACTGTTATCAGAAAGACAGGTTCATTTCTGGTGCAGGCATTTGGCATCGGAGGTGATGCAGGGAAAGTAATTAAAATATTAGGAAATCAGAGAGGAATCAAAGCGGTTTGGTGCTCTCTAGCTTTGGTGCTCTCTACTCTGAAAGGGTACAAGGAGATACAGGGAATGTATGTTGCTCCCACAGCCTCTGCTAGAAAGAGCTATGATGGAATAAAAAGGTGCATTGCTCTGAAGAGCAGTAGTTGCAAGGTAGTAATTAGCAATTTATGGAAAAAACACAATTAGCAAAATAGATTGCTGTTAAAATTAATGTCAGAATTTTGTATTTGCTGCTTTTGACTGTGTGCTTTCATAAGTGGAACCTGCTTTTGATTGCTTGTCTGAGCTAGCAAGATTAGCGTGCGTCTCTTGCCAATAGAGGATGCTGCTGATTCAGAAAACATTCTGCTCTTGTGTTTGAAGATGCTGTCAACCCCGTCTCCTCTCCAATGGAAAGGGACATATGTCTGAGTGATGTGTTACTTTTTTCTCATGTCTGCATATATGCATCTCTCTCTGTATTGACGTATTAGTCATTATTTCTGCCGGTATAAATAAGATACTTGACTTCATAGACTGGACACTACACACCCTCTAAACTTCTAATGGTTTATTGTGTGGTGCAAAAATCTATACTGCTGTATACAGGTGACTGTTTGGGGATCTTGAAATACAGATTTGCAGCCACCATACCATTCTTCAGTCGCTTCACCTAAAATTAGAAATAATTCATACCTCTGTGTTGTTTTTTGTTGGTTGTTTTTTGTCATCACTTTTATTAATTCTGGACTAGGATTTAGGTGTTAGATGACCTTAGTGAGCTGAGCTGCTGTGTTCAGCCAAGTTCCTAGGGAGGAACAAGTGACCTTCTGAGTTCACACTGGAAGTTCACTGGAGGATCTCGGCAGGTCTGGGACAACAGTTCTCAACCCTTAGATCAAGAGGGATGAGAGTGTTCTCCTTTTCTGTGGATATTTGATCTTTCCACAGATCCCTGTGCATTCTTCCTACCCCATGCTGTTAGGACTCACTGCACATAACACTCCATGTTGTTTGTTCCCCCACCTCATACTCCCCCAAAATGTACCCTAAGCCCCAACAGATCCCACTCTGATCTCAGTTCCAGTGTAGTCATCCTCCTACACAAATTTAAAAAAATCACTTACCGTGTTTCTCTGGAAGGGCTGTCTTTCTCTTTTCACCTGCTTGGTTCCTGGAGTCGTCTGTGCTGCAGATGTCATTAATGCTTCTCCGCACCCCTTGCGGTAGTCGTCGTGGCATCTACCAACGCAACAATCCTTCAGCGAAACTGTTTCCCTTCTCTTGCAGTCTGAGCTGCCTTTGTCTTGCTGGAAAATCAGAACCTCCTTTAGAAATGCAAGTACTATCCTGCTATAAATGAATGTATATTCGTTTGTCTCCCCTTGATTTAGTGGTGCTGATGGGCTGTAGTAATTGGGTGAGGAGAAAAGGGCAAGGGAGGGATAGTGCCTCTGGCCATCTCCCTAACTGGCTGCCACCACCTACAAAGGATATACCTTATCTTGAGCCACAGCCTTCAATCCTGTGCTGCGCTTGCCCTGCCATCCCTGTCATGCTGCAACCAGGGAGATAACTTCTAGGCATGGAAAGAAACAGGAGAGAGAGGGCACTGGTCCATCAGGGTTGTGCCCGGGCACCTTGTACTTTCCTCCCTTGTTGTATTCCACACTGCTTTTTCTCTGCCTTCCCTTTCTCCTCTCCTCAAGAGCCACCCCCGAAGTCTGAGAGCATCAGGCCTCTGATGCTGCATACTTACGTGGTTGTACAAAGAATACCAAGGTTGTTCGGCCTTACTGGTCTCAGTCTGGAGGAGAAAGCTGTAGGGAATGCGGTTGTGAAAGAGGATGTAGTCTTCCGGGTGTTCTTAGGATCTCAGAAATATTTATGTTGGGTTGGTGTCTCTAGAAATTCAGGCACATAGGGTTTTATAAGATATTTTCACTTACTTTGTTCAAAGCCATTGTATGCCAAGACTAAAGACGAAATGTTGAGGTTACAAAGTGTGAAAATAAGATATTTCCATGGCTTTCTCATCAGGGGAAGCTATCGGGATGTGGGATTGGCACACAGATCTGCCTGGCTAAAATATACTGCAGTATGGTGCAAATGTAGTGCAATTCTGTGATCATAGTATTTAGGCTATAGACTCTTTGTGGTCAGATTTTTGTGGTCTGATTCCTGACCCAGACTTGAGATTCCTGAACACTATAAAGACTGATTAATTGGCAGATTCAAGGAAAGTTTTTATTATTTTGCACACTGCTCAATTTTGTGGGATTTTTTAAATTTTTGTACTTTTAGCCTACTTTCCTTATGGTGATGCAAGCCACACGTAAACTTGGTAGCTGTTCAGTTAGAAAGGCTTTTCTGTAGATTGAAGAACTTCAGGAGTTTTTTGACATTTAGAGTTTGTGAGGTTAGAACTAATTAATGCAACTGGCAATTGAAGAAAATTCCAAATACTTGCATTGAAGAACAGAAAGCTGTCCTTGAATGCACTATTATCTATTTCCCCCTCCCCCCCGGCACTCTACAGAGGGACAGTGTGGTCACTAACATCAGTGACATTAGAGGAGGCATAATATAAATAAAATTGAACAGCTGTCAAGGCACACTAGTCAGCTGGTTAGGATTCAGAGGAGGTGAAACTGAAGCCTTCATGCATTTAAAAAGCAAAGTAAAACAAGAAAAAGTAATGTTTTGTACCTTCTCTGAACTCAGTTTAGGAGTGCTGCATTTTCAGTGTGTTTTTTTTCTTTTTCAACATAGCTGCAGAAAAGTGTGTACTGATTATTCTATTTTATTTTTCCTTTTTCTGACAGAAAGCATTAGAATTAGGTTTAGTGTTCTCTTGATATGCCCAAAATTGAATTAGCAGCACTTACCTTGGCCCACTGTATAGCAGCAATCTTTTGACACAGTGTTGGGCTCCTTTGTTCTCCAATTGTTGGCAATCTGACACTTCCTTCTGTCACTGACAATATGTATTTTAGTGTCTTTTATAGATACTAATCTATGTCCAGATGCCTAGATTTATAAAGAATTATCACATTTCTAGAAGGTAATCGTGCAGGAACACCTTCTGTGATTTTTTTTTTCTTTTTTTATATTATTATTCTACTTTCATTGTAAACTCAGTATTATAAGAGAGTAAAAGAAGATCAGGGAAATAGAAGCCTGGGGAGGCTTTTGCCAAGCTGGTAGGTCATCAATGATATGACATTATATATGTATTGACCTTGAATCAAGAGCTCTGAGGAGCTACGAGGCAATTTAGAGCAACTAATGACATTCCTGCCATTGGTGTCTGTTACTCTTTTTTTTTTTTTATTCCTTCAGTCTGATCAGGAACATATATTTGGTTCTGAACACCTGGATTATGTTATGTGATCTGATTCTTTTGTCATTAAAATCAATGACAAAATTTCTATTTACTTTAGCGGTGCAGGGTTAAGGCTCCAGAGATTTACCACTTCAAAATAACAAGGGAAGTGGCAGTGTTGTTCATTCCGTTTCTCAAAAGGAGAACACAATGAAAGAATTAGTAGATTTTTTATATATTTAGTTGAAAAAAGAACATTTGTTCAAGGTACTTGTACCATGGTATAAGGTAGTTCCTCAGTTAAGGACCTCAAGATTGTAGGGCTGGTAATAAAAACATATGAATTGGATTAGTTCCAGGTTACAGATTTAGTAGGTCAGGACTGCCATTTCAATGTGGTGATGAGTTCATTTCTGTATGCGGCAGGCCATTCTCCAAACTGCAGAATTCACAACTGCAAGTAGCGTGTAAATTAACCTGCCCTTGGTACAATTTGCAGCAGAGGGCAAGGGAACCACAGGACCTACTCTCTCATTCTCTAGAAGAGCTTTTCTTAGAACACTTCTGCACCACACAAATTTCTGTCTGCTCTTTCTGTAGCTCAGGGCTGTATCAAGTCCAGGGTTAACCTCTTCAAAAAGTAGTATTTTAGTACTGAGAGAGGTCTCCTTTTTTTGCTTTTATAGTAATGGGGACTTAATACTTGTTAAAATACAGGCATAAAACCAAAAGCAGAGAATTTATGTATTTAAACTAGAATAAAGCGGGCATATATAAATATTGTATGTCCAGAATCAAGCTTGAAATTACTGCAGTGTTAAGGTATGCAAATTCTATGAGGCTATTACAGTTAGAGTGCAGAGTTGAAACATGCTCGACTCTTGTACGGCGGTCACTTCTACAGTTTACCCGATGCATTTGTGATTGAAGTGAATGTATTGAGAGCTTCCATTTTTAATATTGAAGGTAAATAAGTGATCTCTGCAAGTCTGAATGTATATAGTTGTCTTAGGACATGCGGATGAAGTTGTGAGTAAAATGTTGGATGTAACATTTAGAGACAAGTCTACCATTTCATGTTCTGCAACTGGCTTTAGTGAAGAGCTATTTCTAGCTGAAGTCCTTCCTTTGACTTTTGCTTACTTAGGTATTTCCACTTGATGATGAACTGACTGGCACTTGACGCAAGCACTTGTGACATACTATGTCTGAGCCAAAATCACTTGTCCTTTCTCTCTTGTGCACTCTGTGCAGGTTTCCAGTGCCCGTGCATAAACTGCCAAGAGTATGTACATTCCTATTACAGCTAGACAACGACAACTGACATCCTGTGAATACTATACTGTTTCCTAAATTGCTTTCTGTAAATTTTTATATTCTGCTTCAAAAACAAAACAAAAGCCCAAAACCCAAACAAAAACAGAAGAAAAATCAGTACCTGATAGGGAGTGGGGAAGAATGATCATTTCATACAAAGTGCAGCTTAATGGCTATACAGATATATAGTAGAATTCAAGAATCTAAGTATGCATCTAGACAATACATCCTTATTAACAGAGGTATTTTTAGTACTTTGGAGACCTGTGTAATCGCAGTTTGCATTGCCTCTGATTGATAGGATGCATGTCATAACCCTGACCAGTGATGGCTGTGTCATTGCCAAATGTTTGTATGCCATCAAACAAACTGAAATTATGTTAGCGGAGGGAATGCATAGATCTATGTGAGGCAAGTGCTGGAGGCAAAATATATTTAAAAAATGTGAAGTTGTTAATTGGAAGTTGTGTGTAGCTGGGTACTTCCAAATTTGTCCTGCCATCAGGTTCTTTTTTTAGATCATGGAAATTTCTTAAACCAATAAATCCTGTTTCAAGTAGAAGTAGTTATGCAGAATAGGAAACTATCTCTATCTTACAAATACTATGTAATTAACTGTTCTAATTTAATGCTAGCTATATGATTGCCAGGGTTAATTTCAACAAGAGGAAATGATGTCTATAACAATAATTTCAACTAGAATATCTTAAAATTACTTTATAGGTAAAACAAATAGTGTCCTGTGGATGTTTGTGCTTTCCTTTTGACGTTACTTTCACAGAATTGAAGTCAGTAATTCTCTCTGGGGATCCTGTAGGGCAATATAAGATGGTCTAAGTATGTTTGCAAAGCAAAGGTTTAAAAAAAAAAAAAAATCAAAACCAAATCAGAAAACCAACTCCTCATCCTTCTGGAAATTCAGAAGAGAGGAGTACCTAAATAACCTAAATATAGGATTAGAAGAGTGCAGCCCATCTTCCCGCCACCTTTACTGTCGCCAAACAGATGTGTTGTTTCAAGTTATCATAAAGTACAGAGAACTATGGGGTACTAAAGATGTACTCAACATAGAACTGATGATGTATAAAGGATAGTTACTATTTGTGTAATAACACTGACAAACGAATTGAATGTGAGCAGAATAGCCTATGCTGGTCCCCAGTGTAGGAGTTGGTGTTGTGCAATGCTAAAAATTTGGGGTTTTTTTGCAGTTCAAATAAAAATCAATTTGTAAGTGTTTATTTTGTAGCTTCTTGTTCATTCTTTCTCTTCCTTGATGACGTTTTTCTTCAATATTAAGGCTTTCCTGAAAAGACTGGAAGCAGTGAAACCAACAGCTGGTATGAGGCGTTCTGAACAATTGATGGACTATCAGCGTCAGATGAGTTATCTAAGTTCTTCACCTTCTGTAAGAAGAGGAAAATCTGCCTTCAGCCAGCTTAGTCCTTCGAGTAAGTACTTTGAAGTTGCAGATTCTTGCATTTCTTTACATGTGTTTATCTTTTTATAATTCAGAATTGTGAAGCACTTACTGCTAAGAATAGCAAATAAGTTCTGTTCTCTGTCTTCCTTAAGTTGATCATTTATCATATAGAAATCATTAAAGTGATTTTTTTTAATCATATCAAAAGTATGACCATGTGCATTGTTTACTTACCATCCTAAATTTCTATTAAATTATCTTGTTAATCATCTTTTCCAAGAAGGTCAAATAATCCTTGCTGTGAAGAAATATTTCTCATTATGCCAGTACCCTTTATTGAAAGGAGAGGGGGGGGGGGGGAACCAAAAATTAACAACACAAAAACCCCAAAGAAGGTTCAAATTCTCATTCGGAAAATGTAAATCTACTGATAGTAGCCTTGTTTCCCTTAGAAATTGTCTGTGTAATATTTGGAAGTAGATCATGTGTCCCCACAGAGCCATCCATACACGTCGGGTTAAAAACAGTGGCACTATAGCATAGGCTTGAATTCTTTGTCCTGACCATTTACAAACAACTCGTAAGATTTGGGGTTTGAATTCAACTTACTGTGATTTGGTTTTTTTGGAAACTACGGTAATGAGTGTTGCAGTACTAATACAGCATGAAGTTTTCTGTTGTACTAAGCATAAGCATTCTCACTCTTTTTTTTTTTTTTCCCCCGGTGTGTCTGTGTGTGTATGTGTGTTAACAGGAGGCACTTCAAGAGCATCCACTGTACCAGGTACAATGAACCAGAGGAATGAAAAGCCCATGTCTGATTCAGCCAGTGGGGCATTACAGAGACCTAAACCCACTAATGTTCGTGCTGCTTGGTTGTAAGTGCATTCTTTGCCTCGCATCCTGAGGTGATCCTCAGACTTCTATTTTTAGTGCTTTTGTAAATTCTATGTGCAAAAATATTTTCTGCTTAAAATGCATTCCGTATGATATAATTGCTTATAAAATGGTTTTAAGTGAACACTTTCACTTCAGTCAATGTTTTCCACGACAGGAAGACTTTATGGAAGAGGAAGAGGTGTTTAAACAGACAAGTCAAGTAGAAAATACTAATTATTATTTTATTCTCAAATCAAAAGTGGAATTTGTATCCATAATGTGGAAGGACAGAATTGCTGCATTATAGGCACAAGATGTAAAGAAAACCTTTAAAATAGTAATATTTTAAAATACTGCATTAAACTCATAAGCATATGTTTAATTCCTAGATTGTCCTTGCTTTTCATCCTGGCTTTAGGTAAGCCTTCTGAACTTTGTGGGTCATGTTCTTGTGAGTGAAAGAATCTTCTTTTTACAGCAGCATCAAGGGGTGAAAAGCAGATTGTGTATTCCCGCATGGTTAGCTAGAATACTGAGGCTGCAGAAGATGATGTTCTGCCACTGTTGCACTGCAGGTGTGGAAGGTTTGTTTTGTACTCAAGGCTGTGTCTCTTCCAGATTTGAAAGAATTTCGGAGGTTGTATTGGGACCTTTGTATAGGAAAGAAGCATCTGATGCTATTTGAACCAGAGTAAAGACTGAACAACAGTTTCAGATTTACTCTAAACAAGAGTAAGTCTTAGTTACTTCTCAAGCTAGAGAGCAAGGGAAATATTTCATGGCCCTGCTTTTGCAGATCCTTGCCCTTCTCGGTGGGAAATACAAACTTAAGCTTCAGGGAACTTGAGCATTTGACTTTGACCGTGACTACTAACCAGGATTTAAAAAAACAAACAAACAAAAAACAACAAAACAAACCCACAAAACCAATGAAACAAAACCCCACAAACCAAAAAACAAACAAACAAAAAAAGCCACCACAAAACCCAAACCCAAACAATGCTTCTTAACCTGTTTTTTAATGTCATGTTCATACCAAATATTTGTTGTAGTGTCAGATAAGCTTCAGTAGCAGCATCCATTTACAAGGGGAGCAAAATTTAATGGAATTGGTAATCACAAATAGTAGGTGGTATACTTTATTTCTATACATAAAGGCAAACTTTCAGTGAGCTTATTTTGTAGGAGTGTAGTCTTATAAAGAGCATAAATTGTGATGCCACTGTCTGTGGATATTACTGGAACTCTGCTTGCTTCCCCAGCTTCTTCCCAGGAGAGATACAGGAAATCTCTTTGTATTATGCATAAATAAAAAAAAAACAAACCTGTATTCAGTCATTTTGGGTCTTAACCCTATGAAAAGGAAAGTTTATTGTTCTTTGCTTGTGCTTGCATGAGGGCTTAGGCTTTCAGGTATTCTGCATTGTAACAAACTTTTTACTTGGTCCTGTGTGATAGTTTGGCAGAGCTTCTGCACCTGGTGACCTGCAGATCAAATTTAGCTGTTTAGCAGTATTTGAACTTTAAGCAGCATTGTGGCAAACAGATTTTTATTGCAATTATTATTCACTGATGGGGACTGTAAGGAATTTTTTTTTGCATAGTGCTGCTGTATTTATTTGTACTACTGTGCTAATTAAAATTATTCACTATTTAAAGATTTTTTGTCCTTGAATGTCAATATCAGGGCTACAGTTTAATACTTTTGAATGTTCATATGATGATTTTTTTTTCTGTGAAGGAATTCACAAAATGGATTACTCTTAATCGCTTCATCTTATCTTATTTAACTTTGGTATGAAAGACTGTCAGTTTTGTATGTCATTTTTGTAAATCATAAATAAAATATTTAACATGATTGTTTGTCATTGCAGTGGCTTCTTTCAGAATTTTATAATTGGTATTACAGTGCAAAAGAGGTCATGAGAGAAGTGTTTTGTACTATGTGTAGTGGAGGAAAATGCAAAGAATCAGTTTATTCATTGATACACTTTACTTGTTAGGGACTTTGGGGTTTTTTTTAAATAAGCCATATTGACAAGTCTTCATTAAGTTAGATAATCTCATCATGATTTTTATAGCAAAAAATCCTGTTTCTAATAGACTTGTTTTCTGTCTTTGTAAGCTGCCACTTTTTGTTCTCTTCTACTTTCTTTTCTTTTATTTTCTTTTTTTTTTTCCTTCCCTCAGAAGATGTCTTTGAAAGAACAGTGCAAGCTGCTTTGCTTCCTCCTTAAAGTGAACTGCCACACTGGTTTGACACACAGTTTCAGGTCGGAGCCGCTCTCCCTGCTGAAGTGACAGGATTGCTAGTTTGGGTGACAGTACTGGTGTATTGATCTCACTACTATGAGACATGGACTGTGATGCCTTGTCATGTTTTTGCTCTGAAAGTGCCCCTGCCTCACTGTGGGCTCCATTTCTTCCAGGATGGCATTCTGCTGTGTAGTCGTTTTACAATACTGAAGGTCTTAAAGAAGGGCCCCAGCTCAGATCACTGACTGTATGAGAAGAGCAGGGAGTGATGATGTATCCCTGTCTGGATAGGTGACACATGAAGGGCATTTTCCCAAGCCAGACCGTTGAATCCTTTAGAACTCTGTTTTAATCTCAGCGAACCGAAGAGACTCAGGTTAATTTGGAAGAATCAGACAAGGCCATTCCTCCTATGGAATGTGTAGGCTTTCCCCTGTGCCAGACCCTGTCTTCTCTCAGGTTGCTTGTAGTCTTTACTGAAGGTCCTGAAGCATCTCTGCTGTCATCCTGCCACTCAGATGAGGGTTTGTCTGATTGTCCTAAATCCAATGGCTGGCTGGATTTACGTGTCTTCCATGATGTATGTGGCCTTTACATTGGACTTAATTTTCCTGATTGTCATTGAATGAGTTTCAGGATAAACCCCTGTAAAAAGCCTGAGACACTTCCTTCTAACAAGTCACCAACAACATTTTTATCCCAGTGCTTTTCCTTGTTCTCCATGGTCAATAGACAAAAATAACCTCCTGCCTTCCCAACCTGGGCAGCTCATTGAGTCATCTGGTAGGTAAGAGCTTGTGCTTTTCCCTGGAGCAGAGTCTGCACATCAGTGTGGTGGAGATGAGGGCAGTGAGGTCACTTACATCAAGCCTTCTAGGCAGTGCAGTCATCACCATTGTATGCAGGCAGTGATGGGTATTTCCACTGTGATATATGAACAAGAAATTGGTGAAGAGGAGAAAAAAAAAAAGGCTCCTTCTGCATTGAAGTGGTATATTTTATGAGCCAGGTACACTGAGCATCAGGTGCAACCTTTGTGGTGTTTATCTTCTCAAAGTCTTGAGGAAAGTTGTGGATGAACCACATCATTTCCACCTGATGAATGAGAAACATAGAAATAATAGCTGCATCTGGAGCGATCTTCCAGGGCTGAAATTATGTTGAGGTAATATTGTTTCAGGTATCAGCAGGGATTTACTGATGCTTGTGATACAGATCTGGTTTGTCTTCAGGGTGTGTGGTTCTAATACCTTGGTCAAGAAAACTGCTATACGTCTCCTGGTAACTCTCCTCCTCGCCAAAATGAGACAGAATTTGCAACGGTGATCCTTGTAGCTGTCACTTCTGCTTCTAGGAGTACTTGCGTTATTCACTGCAGAGTCTTAAAATGCCATCATTTTTGTTCTAAGCTCTGCATACAAAAATCAGAGTTCTCTCCACTGTGTTATGTGGTCAGAGCTTGGAACAAAAATGACAGGTCTCAGTTGTCTCCAAGCAGTGGCTTTTCAGACTAGAACAGGGTAGTGAGAGATTTTGTTTCTTTCAGGTGAGGGGGACCTCACAAGATGAGCACAGGTGGCTGAGGTTTGCCACCTGAGGCATGAGTAGGGGAGTCCACTTTGATGCATCTTTCCCTGGCATCCTAGGTTGGCTGGTCAGACTCTCCATCTCCAGGTGAGATTACCGTAACACTGGCATCCCTGCAGATGGAGTTGTTTTCTTTTTTTTTTTTAACAGCTTAGCAAGGTGTTTTCCCTTCTGCTATGCACTGCATCATGTCTTAAAACTGCTGTGGCTTTTAAAGAACTGATGGCTGCTGCTTCCATGACAAGCATAGGGCAAAAAGTGGTAGGGAAGATTCAATCTGCTATCATAGATTCTTCCCCTCCCACTGTCTGCAGTATGCTGTGCTCTTTAGAGACAGGTTTATCCTTCAGACCTACTTTTAAGTTCCTAACTTCATCTCATCCAAGACATTAAGTGTGCCTCAGTTCTCTCCCCATGTACTATGCTGGATGGTAGGTGGGCTTTGTATTAGTATGATAGATTACCAGGCTACTCAGGGCAGGCTTCCCAGTGTTCAAGTGTGAGATACAAAGGGATAATGGTTTTGACGCAGACTTTTGCTGGGTTACTGTCTGTAACAAACTATTGCAAAGGTGCAAAAGGATTAGGGCAGGAGTTATCAATTGTCTGTGGTAACTGAGGTCTGTCTGACTGGAGTTCAAGTAGCAATTAGAGACTATCTGCAAAGTCTTCTGTTTTCTAGCTTTGCAGAGCTGATAGCTGGATTTTAGGTTATACTTTCAGCAAGTAACGCTGAGTGCCACAGACTCAGTGCAGAGCTGCTTTCAGGTGAATGGTGATTTCATTGACGGTTTTCATAGACTCATAGGATGGTTTGGGTTGGAAGGGACCTTGAAAACCATCTCGTTCCAACCCCCCTGCCATGGGCAGGGACACCCTCCACCAGACCCGGTTGCTCAAAGCCCCATCCAACCTGGCCTTGGTTTTGCACTCTGACCCCAAGTATCCTTATGGAGAGTATGGCCTGGCATCTGCCATAGGGTGTGTGCGTGCATAAGCATTCAAGCAGAAATAAGGAGCTGTTTACCTGTGTTCTCCACACCTGTTATTTCATGTGGTCTCTTCCCCCAGTAGAATTTTCCTACACTGATACTCCTCACTCTCCTTTTTAACAGTCTTTACCCTGCCTTTGGTTTTTGCCTTTTTTTTTTTTTTCTGGAATATAGTAACTTTTTTCATTTATGCTTATCTGAACTTTCTTTTGCTTTCTCTTAATTCTCTTACTGCTCACTCCCACATCTACTTCCCCCCAAAGTTGGGTACCTCTGTGTATTAGTCTGTCATGGTCTCTGGTATCTTTGTAGCCAACTTAGATCTTCTCCAAAACATCCAAATATTGCATGCAACCTTGTCAGTGAGGTGAATGTGAAATGAATGGTTGCAGTGTGTTAGCAGGTTTCTCATGAGGATCCATTAAGAATGCGTGGAGGAAAATGGGCAGAAGCAGGCAGGTAAAGCTTTTAATGAAGACTAATGCAATAAGCACTCTGAAAAGCAGTTGAAAGATATTCTTCACAAACTTACAGTTCAATAGGTTGCAAACTTGGTTATTTACTACTGGGAAGAAAACAGACCATGTGTCTAGAAAGCAAGTGTTCAAGATGATAGTGACAGTGAAAAAAGGGAGGTGAAACAATCAGGCCAGGTTGAAAGAAACACTATCTTCATGAGACAAAAAATAATTAAATTTAGGTAATTTAAAAATAGCCAATCATTTTTGGACTAATTTTTTCCCAAATGCTTCAGTTCTTCAGGGGGATAGACGTTGCTTTGAGATACTGTTTTAGTAGCTTCTACCTGCCTTCAGGGAGAATGGAGCTGCTGGTCTGCATCTGTAGCAGACACACACAGCCCATCATGCTAAGTGACAGAGAGCTAGGACTACCTACATTTGACAATAAATTAATTTCAAATGTACAAAAGGGAGAACTGGAAGCTATACATATGAAGTAGTAAAAGATGCAGCTGAAATGAAAGCTTTTGAGTGTTACTTGCTTAGTCTTACACACCTTTGCTTAGGCAGACACATAGCAAACACTTGTTTCTATGTAGTCTAACTGAAGCACTCACTGAAAGGGACACAACTCCCTTCCCCTCCTCTGCCTAATTAGAGAGCCTGTTCTTCAGTGAGTTCACAACCATGCAGCATCCAAAGTTTAAAAACTCCATACTGAGCATGTTCTGATCTTACAGGTAATTAATAGCTCAAGTTGTTAGTAACGGTGTTGCTGGAAGTATAGTTATTTTAATAACTTAACCCAGAAGTATTCCATTCTAGAATACTTTTTTCAAGTAAAATAAGCAGCAATGACTTCACCATCAAATGAAGACACACTTACTTCAAAGTTAAGGGTAATAATATAAATGAATTGTCAAAGCAACTAAGACTACATGGTAGTTTATCTGTAAGACAACTGGCTGCAGTACCCTCAAGCTGAATCCACTTGGTTTTGCTACTGTAGAATTATCAAGAACCATTTTACCTACCTAAAGCTCTGTTGGAAAAACTTTCAAGATGCTTAGACAGTACCAGACAATCACAAATAGTGTGCTGATTAGTACATCACATTAAAGGACATGTACTTGTGATGTGTTCAGTGTACTGAAAACAACAGAAAAAAGTTCATTAAATATATTAATTTATTTCATGATTTCAGTTTTAGTTCAATTGAACAGAGCAGACAACTTTTTGCTTTGTGATGATACAGGGAGTTTTTGAAGCACTCTATTTCCATATTCTACAGAGTATGTTTGAAAAAAATCAGATTATATGGTTGAAACCATATGATTGTATAATTTGTCAGTGAAGAGGCTGCAGGAACTCAGCCTGGTGCTTTCATATAGTTTATATTTTCAGACAGGTTTTTCACTTAATATATTAAAAAAATACAGCTTTAGAAGAAAACAAATATTTTAATTCATGTTATAAATGTCATCATGCTGTTGGGTAGAAACATCACTTGGTACAATAGGTATTTCTGAAGATATAGACCACCTAACTCTTGTCTCTAGACAAGATGTTTTACCTGAAATTTGAAGTATAATATATACACAAGTTCCAATACAAATGTTGGAGGAATCTTCATACAAAATGTAGCTGTGATGTAGTGGACAATTTTTAAATTAATGCATCCTCATCTCAACCAGATGTTACTCAAATTTTGTTCTGTTTCCCTAGGAAATATTTTGTTGTCCATTACATCACAATAGCATATTTTAAAAAAAGTTGATTGAGAACAATTGAACTTCATTATGATGTTAGGTTTTAGACATATTTCTTGATTTCATCGTAAAGTACTAATACAAAAGCTCCGCCCATGCCTCTCAACACATTCGACCAGGCACCTTTGAAGAATGCTTTGGATCCTTCATCTTTAGCTATCTTCTTCCAGCAATCAATTGTGCCCTTGTACATAATATCAGCTGTGGAAACAGACATAAAGGTCAGAAGGCTTGAAGTTATACAGCAGGTCTGTTTCAACTTTCATATATTTAAAACAACAACAAATAAGCAAAGTATAGCCAAGAATTTATAATTAAGTAATCAATTAATGAAAAGTAATTTTAATTCTCCACATGGAAATCAAAGCACATCAGTTCTCAGCCTCTTAAGTGAAGATGACAGAAATACCCAGCAATGTGCTTGCCATAGCTTTTTTTTTTTTAAGGATTCCAATAAGAAGGTCATTAGTTTTTCATAAAATTGCCCAGCATCTCCCATCATATCTCAATAAAGAGAGACTTTCTGCTGCCAGAACACCATAGGAGCACTTCTTACCTCCCTTTCGGCCAGACTGCATCATCATCCTACGTCGCACAGTATCAAAAGGGTAAGAGACCAACCCTGCTACTGCGGTGACGGTCTGGGCAATCATCCAGCTCACTACGATATGCACGTTCTTTGGATCGGGCAACATACCTGTCATCAAGAACAAATGAGCAGAGTCAATACAGAGGGAAAGGGTTGTGGGAAAGATGGGTGTGGAAGGAACAATCGCCCACCAACCCCAGGAGTCACTCAATCAAGCCTGCAACTTCTCCCTTCATCCATATTTGACTATTAACAGGTACCATGAGTGAAACAAGTCTGTATGACTGTTGGATTTTGGGATTTAAGCCCTCTTCATGCTCCCCGACCAAAAGGTCTCTCCTGCAAAACCCTCCCAGGCTCATGTCATGAGCTGCAATGAGTAATAAGCTATCATACAAGCCCATCTGTATAAGCCTTAATACAGAGAAAGAAACTGGAAAGTGTCTGAAAACACGCTGTAGATCCCAGAGTGCTGCTCAGAGCAGCAAGTTGAGGGACACAGGAATGCATTTCAGAAACACTCGTGCGTATTCTAGCACTAAGAGGGACACAGGAATGCATTTCAGAAACACCCGTGTGTATTCTAGCACTAGCACCCTGAACTGGTGCCAAGACAAGCCTTGCTTGTCCTTGTACTGCCAAGTGCCCTCACTGGACGGATCTTCCCTTGCAGTCGCTTCTCCATGCACTTCTTACCCTTGGCCGTGTCGTAAACCCCAAAATAGGCTGCTCTGTAGATGATGATGCCCTGGACAGACACATTGAATCCTTGGTACAGGCCCTTCACACCATCAGACTTGAAGATCTTGATGATACAATCACCCAGCCCAGTGAACTCCCTCTCGCTGACTCCTTTGCCCACATCAGCCGCCAGCCGGGTCCTGGCGAAATCCAGTGGGTAGACAAAGCAGAGGGAGGTGGCTCCCGCAGCACCTCCAGACGCCAGGTTCCCTGCAAAGTAGCGCCAGAACTGCTTGTGCCTGTCCACTCCCCCCAGGAAGATCTGCTTGTACTTGTCCTTGAAGGCAAAGTTGAGGGCCTGGGTGGGGAAGTACCGGATGACGTTGGCTAGGTTGCCTCTCCAGAAGGAGATGATGCCTTGCTCCTTGGGGATGCGGACTATGCAGTCGATGATGCCCTTGTACTGCTTCTCCGCCGTGATCTGTTTGCTGGCATGCTGGACCTGTAGGGAGAAGAAGGTTGAGGGGTGGGAGGGCAGGGAAGAGGGACATTGCTGGGGTGACCTCGCACGGCGGCCCGTTGAAGG